GAAGGGGGGGAGAGGAGGGCAGGGCTGGGGCAGGAAGAGGCAGATTGTGGAGTGGCTGTGGGAAGAGATGGCATGGTGAGGCGTCACATGGGGCAGTTATGTGACCAGCGCTGCCCTGGTGTACCTCTCCAGCGGTCGCCACTGGCTGTAGGCAAACTACCACTGGGAGGCGGTAGATAACAGTGCTGGGAGACTGTTTACACTGGAGCTTTACAGCACTGTCACTTTTTTTTTTTTTTAATGTCTGAGCAAGAAAGTTACAGCACAGTTAGAGTGGCAGGGGAGACAACCCCTGTCTGGACATCTGGGCCTTACCGTTTTGGGGGGTTGAGCAATCCTCTCTTTCAAAAGCCAGGCCCCCTTAAGCCCCACAGGCTATTCCTGTTGGTTTTCACAGTAATCTGCAATCCACGTGCCTCTGAGAAGAAAAGAAATGTGCTCAGAATTCGGCGCATGAGGCTGGAGATCCTGAATTGTAAAGCTGTCTGTCATTGATTTGCACTGTGGTAATTCAGGCTCTGAATCTAGAATGCCAAGCACCTTCCATTCCCATTAACACTACTGAGAATTAAGGAGATTTAGCCCCTGGGAGGATCAACTCTTCATCACTTGGCTGCGTCTAGACTGGCAAGTGCTTTTGCGGAAAAACTTGCCACCTGTCTACGCTGGCCACTTGAATTTCCACAAGAACACTGACGATCTCATGTAAGATTGTCAGTGTTCTGGCAGAAATGCTATGCTGCTCCCGTTCGGGCAAAAGCCCTCTTGCGCAAATGTTTTTGCGCAAGAGGGCCAGTGTAGACAACACGGTATTGTTTTGCACAAAAAAGCCCCGATCACGAAAATGGCAAAAAGTGCTTTTGCGGAAAAGCATCCGTGCCAATCTAGATGCTCTTTTCCGCAAATGCTTTTAACGGAAAAACTTTTCAGTTAAAAGCATTTGCAGAAAATCATGCCAGTCTAGACGTAGCCCTTGTGTAAATCAAGGGATGATACCTATATTTAGTGGGTGTATCCTGGAGACTGATCAGTTAATGGGCCAAATTCTGCTCTTTTCCATCTGTTCAGCACTATGGACTTTAAGTGCAATGGATACATAGTTGGACTAACATTGAGATGCGTTATTTTCTAAGGGTGCATCTGCACAGCAGGGCTTAACTCGAAATAAGCTACACAAGTTGAGCAAAGTCAATTGTGTAGCTTATTTCAAAATTGGGAACATCTACACAGCACTTATTTCGAAACAGAGCACTCTTCCTCCAACTTCCCTTAACCCTTGTACAATGAAGATTACAGGAGTCAGAGTAAGAAGTCCTCCAGCCTGACAGTATTTCGACATTATTTCAAAATAACTGCCTGCTGTGTAGACGTGGACTAAGTTATTTTGAAATAACACAAGTTATTTTGAAATCATGTTGCTGTGTAGACGTACCCTAAATGAGCAGTGTTTAAAAGCTGTCTGGTATTACTAACAGGAGCGGCCCAAGTCTGCCTATAGCCACGGGCCACCCCTGATTACTAATATGCTCTCTGGGTACAGCTGAATGTTATTTTCCCTGGGAAGTTTTGCAGACCTAGAAGCTCTCTGAGAAGTGTTGACTGGAGGAAATAATTGGTGCCTAATTGACATTCCAGTGACTCCCTTGAAGCTCCTGCGCTTCTGTGTGGGCTTGGAAGTACCTTTCATAAAGACTGGCTAATGTGTAAGCTTCCTCTGAGCAACCTGCAATGGAGCAGTGAGCACATACCTCTGGCGGGTGCTTTTTATAACAAACTGGCATCTCATTCTTGCTAATTGCTGCCTGGCTGCTTTATCTACAAACTTCTCCAGGCAGCTTTTATGTGCTCTCCACAGAATTGTCAGACTGAGACTGCTGACTGTCAGAGCCATAGGGCATGGGTTGAGAGGTGCGCAAGTCAGACCACAATGGTAAGGCAGAGAGGAAAAGAGGCTGCAATTCATGCCTATAAAAGGTGTATTCAGAAGAAATACTTTTCTCAGAAGTCCTACACAGGGAATGTCTGAGGTGTGGCATATCGAGGATAAATCGGGAAAGCTGGTATGATTCTTCTAGTACACACCATATGGAAGAGGTAATGTCTTGGAGGGGTCAAAGGAGCTTGTCACTAGCTCTGGAAAGCCCCAATCTTGCTCCCATTCAATTCTGACACTGGCTGAAGTGGAAGTAGAAAGTGAGGCTTTGTTGAGATGTATGACTTTCTCCCGATGTGAAATAATTTTCTTGCCAAGTTATAGGCCATCCTCTCTTGAAACTGCGCCTGACTAGCCGCTTGGCTGTCTTAAGAACCCATTTGTGCAAAACTTATTTTTACTCACCTATTTTTGTCTGTTGTGTGTATTTTTGTATGTTCTATGGGAAGGCAAGGCCTCTGGAGAAGAGGATACTGATTGACTTTTAAATAGTCATAAACAAAAAGAGAATTAACCTGGCAGGTGTCATGCATTTATTTTTTAGAGATAGATTGTAGAAATCTAGCCATCAGGGAGAGAAAGCCTGTATGATTCATAGTTATGAACCTTCCCCCTTTTCAGACAGTTCCTGCCAAGTTTACAAGGGTTTCTCTTGGGCTGCGTCTAGACTGGCATGATTTTCCGCAAATGCTTTTAACGGAAAAGTTTTCCATTAAAAGCAGTTTCAGAACAGAGCGTCTAGATTGGCACGGACGCTTTTCCGCAAAAGCACTTATTGCGGAAAAGCGTCCGTGGCCAATCTAGATGCGCTTTTCTGCAAAAAAGTCCGGACTGCCATTTTTGCGATCGGGGCTTTTTTGCAGAAAACAAATCTCAGCTGTCTACACTGGCCCTTTTGCGCAAAAGTTTTGCGCAAAAGGGACTTTTGCCTGAATGGGAGCAGCATAGTATTTCCGCAAAAAGCACTGATTTCTTACAGTAGGAAGTCAGTGCTTTTGCGGAAATTCAAGCGGCCAGTGTAGACAGCTGGCAAGGATTTTCCGGAAAAATTGGCCAGTCTAGACACAGCCTTGCTGTCTCCACAAAACTTGTATGATGACTGTGCTGTCCTGGGCAGCACCATGTACCTGTTCAGATGGGCTTATTTTGAATACACAAAATCCTTTCTCTGTACTCGCTTGCTTAGATTTCTCTAACTCCTTCAGGAGAAGGTGACCCAGCTCCAAGTGTCTGTGTGAAAGAGCAGCTGCCATCCCGCTGCCATCGCTGCTGACTAGCAGGAGAACAAAAATGAAAGGGTACTTTTAAAATAAATATGCTTTTATTTAAGAAATGACCCTGCAGCCTACCAGCTACCATGTCAAGTGTCTATTCACTAATCAAGTACACTGCGTCCTAACCAGTGACTTTATTTTGTAAGACAAAGTGTGGTGAGGCAAGGCAATATTCCTTGTCCCATGGAGAAAGGGCCTTTCTGGATCCTGGTGGTCTTCCTCAGAAAACAGCTTCGCCATGTTGCAGTTGAAGATGGCAAACTTGTTGACAGAGTTATTGGCCTACTGAATGTGTGGGAAGATGTGACCTGTCTTGATTTGAAATAAGATTTTTGACACACTATTCTCATAAGAAGCATAGGGAAATGTGATCTAACCTGAGTGCACAGCTGGTTGAAAGACCATACTCAAAGAGCAGTTATCAATGGTTAGCTGTTTAAACGGGCAGGACATATTTAGAGGGGTCCCTTGGGTCCAATGTTATTCAGTATTTTCATTAATGACTTGGATACTGGAATGGAGAGTGCACGTCAAAAATTTGCAGATGATGCAAAGCTGGGAGAGGTTGCAATCTCTTTGGAAGACCAGATTAAGAATTCGCAGCTACCATGAAAAATTTCAAAACTTGCCTCTATTCAATGAGATGAAAGTCAATAGAGAAGTGAAAGTACTTCCCTTGGGAGGGAGAAAAAAATCAAATCCACAAAGTGGTGATACTGCTAAAAAGTGTCAGGCGTTAAAGTGCAACATGAATTGCTTATGCATCAATAATGTGATCCATTTGGAAAATAATCTCATATGTGGGGGTGTATTAAGAGGATTGTTGAATGTAAGACATAGAAAATAACAGTCCTCAGCTGGAGCCGTGTATCCAGTTCTGGGTGCGACACTTTAGGATCAAGATGTTGGTAAATTGGAGACAGTCCAGAGGAGGAGAACAACAATGATAAAAAAATGTAGAGAATCTGACTTATGACTAAAGTTTAAAAAAGAATGCTTGGCGTGCTTAATGTTGATGGGCCCCCCAATAAATATACGAAGGGCTGCTCAAATAAAATAACTGTAAACACCTTTTCTCCATGTTCCTTGGAACTGGCACATGATGTAATAAGCATAATTTGGAGCAAGGGAAATATAGATGATAAATTAGGATATGTGTACATTACGTGAATATTTAAAAAATACCCCCAAAATAACTGTTTTGAAATAGCAAGTACACACTACAAGCCCCCATCGAAACAGCACAGATTGTTATCAAAATGGCGCGTCCACACTGCCTGGAGGCAGAATAACATTTAAACCCCCCAGAATTAGTCTGGGCAGGGCATCAGGACAGCAGTGACTTCCTGTAGCTGCTCCTGAGGCTGAGAGGGACCCCCCCTCCCCCCGTACAGCCGTGTCTCATACGCCTCTTCTCCATTGCCTACCTCCTCAAGGGACCCCAAACGCACACCGCATGCTCTGGTGGCCCTTGCAGATGCCACAACATGGAGCTGGAGCTCTTGCAAAGCAGTGCCAGGCTCTTTGACCTTCTGCTGCACCGCCTGGCACAGTTCATGCAGACTGCCCGTGAGGTGCCGCATGAGGACAATGACCAGCCCAGAACGGGAGACCTCCTCACCCAGGCCTGGGCAACCCTCATGCACCATGTTCCCTTCCGTCCTCCCCCGCACACTGTGCAACGCCGCCTCTGGCAGAGGGAGACCAGTACCAACTGGTGGGACCAAATCGTCACGGAGCGGTGGGACGACCAGCAGCGGCTCCAGAACCTCTGCCACCTTCCTGGAGTCTCCGGTGATGGGACACCCAGCTGGGACTCTCCATGCTGCTCCAGAAGTGCATCGCCATCGCTCTTTGGAAGCTCACATCGCCAGACAGCTACCGCTCTGCGGGGATCCAGTCCATCCTGGGGAGATCAACTATTGGGACGGTGTTCATTCAGGTTTGACTCTCTTACTATGTTACTAGGAGTGTGGTGAAGCACTAGCATAGGATCTCAGGGTGGGGAGGCTGGGAAGATGGGATCTCTGTCCCTGGAAGTTTTTCAGTCCTGGCTTGACAAAGCCCTGCTGGAGATGGTTTAGTTGAGGTGGATCCTACTTTGGGAAGAGGTTTGTACTCAGTGACCTCTGAAGGACTCTTGCAACCCTTTGATTCTATGTTCTTATGATTCTCTAGGCGGTCAAGGCCATCCACTCTCTCCTGCTGCGGAGGGTCCTCTCTCTGGGCAACATGGACCCCATCATCACTGGCTTTGCCGCCATGGGCTTCCCCAACTGCAGGGGGGTCATTGACACCACCCACATCCCCATCCTGGCTCCCGACCACCGGGCTGCAGACTATATCGATAGAAAGGGGGACTTTTCAATGGTGCTGCAGGCCCTCGTGGGCCACGGGCCAGTTCACAGACATTTACGTTGGATGGTCGGGGAAAGCGCATGCCGCCCACATATTCCAGAATTCTGGTCTCTTCCACAGGATGCATGCTGCATAGTGGTGGAAGGGACCCTCAGCCGCCTCCAGGGGAGGTTCCAGAGTCTCCTCACTTGCCTGGACCTCGATGACTGGAACATCCCTTCAGTGGTAGCGGCCTGCTGTATGCTCCACAATATATGCGACAACAAGGGGGAGACTTTCCTGTCGGGAGAGGGCAGAGGCAGAGCAGCTGGTGAGGGCTTTTGAGCAGCCGGGCACCGCTGCCATTTGGCGAACCCATCAGGGGGCTATGCTCCTGAGAGAGGCCGGCTGTGAGACTCACAAGGGGTCCCTATAGTGCCCTGGTACGCCTTTCCTCTCCCACCCCTTCCTTCTCCTGCCCACTCTTCCCACCTTCCCCTCTCCCCTGCAGACCAAATAAAAAAGACATTTTATTTTGAAAAACAGCTCTGTTATTTTTATTTGTGGAATATATAACAGGGGAGGGACTGGAGGGAGAAAGAACCTGGGAGGAGGTAAAGAGGAGGAGGGGGGGAAAGGGGCTCAGGGAGGGGGCTGGGACTGATGCCTGCCTGGGGTACCTTGGGATGCTTCGGGTACCTGGGAGCTCCCACTGCCATGTATTCACGGGCCCTGGTGGTCCCTGGATGGGGGCTAAGAGGAGAAGCCAGAGGGGCAGGTGTGGATGCTGGAAATTGGAGGGGGAGGAGGAAAACTTTCCCCAGTGGGGGTGGGGGCAGGGGCAGGTGCTGGGACTTGCGGGGGAGCGCAGGATAAACTTAAAAAACAACAAATGGTCTAGTAGCACTTAAAAGACTAACAAAACATGTAGATGGTATCATGAGATTTCATGGGCACAGCCAACTTTTAGGGCATACGCTTTTGAAGGTAAAAGTGAGTCTCTAAGAGCATGTCTAAACTATGGGGGGATTTTTTGAAAGAGGATATGCAAATTCCATGGTAATTTGGCAGGATAAACTTAAAAAACAACAAATGGTCTAGTAGCACTTAAAAGACTAACAAAACATGTAGATGGTATCATGAGATTTCATGGGCACAGCCAACTTTTAGGGCATACGCTTTTGAAGGTAAAAGTGAGTCTCTAAGAGCATGTCTAAACTATGGGGGGATTTTTTGAAAGAGGATATGCAAATTCCATGGTAATTTGCATATCTTTTTCCGATCTCACTTTCCAAAGAGGAAGTGAAAGTAGTCTGGATGCGTTTTTTTTTCGGGAAAAAATACTTTTTCGAAAAAAATGGCGTAAATCTGCTTTTTTAAGGTTGAGCTGGTTTTTTTTTCGAAAAAGGTTTTTTTTCCCCCAAAAAAAGTGTCTAGACTACTTTCACTTTCAAAGTATCCTCTTTTGAACGTGAGATCAAAAGAAGATATGCAAATCCCTGTGGAATTTGCATATCCTCTTTTGAAAATTCTACATAGTCTAGACATTGTGGCTGAGTCTACACTGGCACCTTTTTCAGGAAATGCTTAAAACGGAACAGTTTTCCGTTATGAGTATTTCCGGAAAAAGAGCGTCTACATTGGCAGGATGCTTTTCCGGAAAAGCCCTTTTTCTGGAAAAGCGTCCGTGGCCAATGTAGACGTGCTTTTCCGGAAAAAAGCCCCGATCGTCATTTTCGCGATCGGGGCTTTTTTGCTGAAAAGACTACTGGGCTGTCTACACTGGCCCTTTTCTGGAACAGTTTTCCGGAAAAAGGACTTTTGCCCGAGCGGAAGCAGCGTAGTTTTTCCGAAAAAGCAGCTGATTTCTTACAGTAAATCGTCACTGCTTTTCCTGAAATTCAAGGAGCCAGTGTAGACAGCTCGCAGCTTATTCTGGAAAAGCGGCTGCTTTTCCGGAATAAGTGGCCCAGTGTTAACACAGCCAGTCTGTCTCTAATGTGTCACAGGAAACTGTAGTAGGTGATCAAAACAATACATACTTTGTGTGTAAACAGAACACGTGATGTTCTGCATAGACTTGTCGCTCTTCCTCAAACACTTGCTGACCAGAATTTGACTCTTCAGGGCCATTCAATGGGAACTTTTTCTAAAATGTGTAGAGTTGACGTCATCTTTGATGGCATTATGGAAACTTGTACAAAGAATAACATCAAATAGTCACTTCTTCCTTACATTAGAAAAAAACATTTAGAACAAGCAAATTGACTTTTTAGCATCAGCAATCAGAGGCAAAATCTAAGCCATGGTGAAGGAGTCAAAATACTATTTAGTCGTCCTCCATTACACACAGGACAATAGCCTAGCAATACATGTGGCTGTGATCTGGAAAACAAGGTGTAAGTGTGAATGTGCTTCTTAGTGTCTGTGAAACTGAATGATTCAAGTGATACAGGCTTGACTGAAGTTCTTTGCCAGAAGTTAAATAAAACAGGACTGCCTCCTGCAGACATGAGAGTGATGCAGGAGCTAACATGAAAGACTAGCGGAGTGCAGAGAAAGATTCATGAGCTTCTCAAGAACAAATTTTGTGTCCCATAGCACCCATTCTCTCAGCCTGGTACTGAGCAATGCTGCCGCTGGCTGTTGTACTGAAGGAATAAAACTTTTGGGGGTCATTTAGGCTATTTCCATTTATTTTCAATCAGTTTGTCAGTGGGAAATTATTTTGAAACATGCTGGAAACTTGTATATTACAACCAAACAGCTGCCCGGAAGAAGATGGGAACGCAGATTTGAAGCAATAAGAGTCATGAAATCTTAAGGTGGAGAAGTGTATGTATGGTGCATTGCTATCTGTAGCTAATAATGCAACATTGGTTGGTCCTTCTTAAAGCAAATCTCATGCAGAGGCAAGATTCATTGCTGGACAAATGCTTACATTAACATTTCTGTGCGTCTTCATCATGTGGCATTCTATATTGGCTGAAGTGAACATAGCAAAGGAAGACTTCACAAGTGGTAGAATTTGACCTGCGTTAAGTAAATCAAACTTGGGCAGGTTAGATAGACATCTGTCAGGGACTGGTGCTTGGGCCTTCCATGATGGCAGGGGACTGGACTCGATGACCTGTCATGGTCTCTTCCAGATCTAGTGTTCTATGATTCTGTGCAACAGCTAGAAGTTCTACGAGATTCCTTGCAAAACTATTGTTCAGATTACAGTTTTGCATCTGTACCTGCTACTGCTTGAGAATAAGCAAAATCTCTAGGCATGCAAGAAAGGCTGTACAAGAGATCCAAGTCCGAAGCTGAAGGAAAAATATTAGGCTCACAATAAATCAGGTGTCAACCTTGTGTATTATTCTGACACTTCCCATAACTGTTGCCAGTGCTGACAGCTGCTTCTCAACATGGGAACTCATCAAAACCTAGCTGTGATCCTCCATGGCTCCGATGGATTAAGTGGCTATTGAAAGAATGTCTGGCTAACATGATTTAGCTGCCTTGGTGAACTGCTGTTCACAGGTTCAGCCAGGTTAGATATATGCATGTCTTAGAAACATATTGGACAGCCTTAAAAAAAACCAGAGTATTCATCATATAGTCTATATTTATTTGATTTTACTAATGGTATATCTAAATCCATATCTTTTTTTACTTGCTTGTTGTCAAGGCCTAAATCCCCACTCTGCAGGCCCCCACTTCTGCATTCATCATGCCAAAGTACCCCATAACCTTATCTTTCCAGGCTTTGGTATAAAACTTCCCTCCAAAAATCTTAAAACCTAGATTTTGGGGATAAAAATACGCTGCCACCATCCAAGTAATGATAAGAAAACCAGGGAAGAGATCAATGGGAAATCTCACCTCTAAAGTAAAACCAGGACACGAAATATTAACCAATAACAGGTTAATAAAAAAAAAGAAAGAACTTTTATTATCACCACAATACTCCTGTTACAAGCATAATGACTAGATGGAAAAGTCACCAATTAATATACTCCCGGGGGACCCCCCCCAATGGGCCAATAGCTTAGTTACAAAAGAGAGGAAAACCCATTTTTAAATGCACAGACATCAGATTCCCATTCCCAAACCAGAAAACAATAAAACCTAATGGATTTATCTAAACTTTACTCTACTTACAGATAGTGAAGAGTCTTTTCTTTGTCTGTCCCCCTCAGTTGCTGGAGAGACACTGCCCAGAGACAAAGGAGGGAAAAACCCAAACATTCCTTTGTCCCAGTTTGAAATTCCTACCTACATTTCTATTGGCTGCTGGCTACCTGGTTAGGGAAGGGACACAGTTAACCCCTTAGTCTCCAGACTGCTGGCCATCTCTCATGATCATGGCACTTGTAGATTCAGGTTACTCTCCTTGAAAATGTATCTGATTAGTTTTTTTAAGGAAGGTTTCAGGAGTGCACCAATCTGACTGATATTCATAAAAGGCCCTCCTGCTTTAAAGTATATTGATATTTTATTTGCTGCAACTTGTGTACATCTTTGCATCTGTAGAAACAATTGTATAATGCACATGGGAGGCATTTTATGGTAGGTTTATCTCTCTCAAGTTAAAAGCTATTTCTATCATACTTCGAAGGGGGCACAAGTAGGGGTCAGCACACTGATGGGGTGCCAGGGGAAGTAGATTTTCTTGAGTGCTCCCCTAGGCACTCTGATTCTCTCCTTTTGTGACATATGCTCTCTGCTTTTCAAGTCTCTCAACCGTACCTGATTTATTAAATTTGGGGAGGTTTTTTTAGATCCAGTTTTCCCTGCATCCCAGATATACCTGCTTGCCACTTAGGGATCCCCCCAACAATAAAACTGAAGGTTAGAAAATACTTTTCAGGTGTATTTAATTGTTGTGGTTTTTTTTTTTTTAAGATTGGTTCTCATATTTCCTCATCATCCTCTGTTGTTTAAGTCTTATCTTCACTTCCGAGGAGACGCCTGCCTGTGGTGACCATATTTTCTGAACCTGGTGTGTGGGAGGAAGAGAAGGGGGTAAGAGATGGGCCGCATGCCACCAGAAGCAGGTCTTACATGCTGTGCTGTGCGAGAAGCAATGGCAAGCTGCAGCACCATTTCTTGGTTACTTCTTCCCACAAGCCAGTGTCCCCATCAAGTAGTGAAATGTCCAATAGTGTTTTCCGGGACCGTTCACAACTTGATAGGGCACCAGGACAGAGCATTTAAATTCGGGCCTGTCCTAAAAAAATTGGGACATTTGATCAGCCGTATGCTTGCCTTGCATTTTAAAGGCTGGTTTGCTGTGTCTGAGCCATGGGGAGTGCCGTGGGGCCCTCTTTCTGATTAAACATCCCAAAAATAACATTAACAGTTTCACTTCTTTAGTGATTTGCATCCAAAGATCTGGAAGACATTATTCCTTGCTGCACTTCAGTGCAACAAGTAGCATGAGCCCCATTTAATAAAGAGAAACAGAATCACAGATAAATGCGCTTTACAAAACACAGAGCTCATGACTTCCAGGCTTGTGCTTTCAGCAGTGAGATCATAGTGCCTCTCTACTAACCCATGCTGCATTCCTCCCAAAGGCATTTCTCCTCCATCCTTAAAGAGACACGCTCTGTTTTTCCAGAAATTCTTCAACTGCAGAGCAATGGGATAAGTGTGGGGCGTAGCTGGGCTGGCAAATCAACCCCTCCCCTCCTCAGTCAGCTCTGCCTTCTGCTTGACAGCACAGCTAGGGTTGGAGAGATCCTGCCGCAATTAACACATATCAAAGAAAAACAACAGCTTATGTAATCCAAGCAGTCTCGCTCATTCCAGTGTGCCTGGCCCAGAAACCAGAAAGGACCAGCTCTGATAATGACAACTGTAATCTAAATTGAGTCTGTTACAAAAGAGGCAAGCCAGCACAAATATAAATGGGTGGCTCTGAATTGCTTGTTTGTTTTGGTGAGTGATACTGATTAGCGTCCCAGTAAAACTGCTGTACAGCAGCGAAGGTAACCTAGGTTAGTGCATGGGCCAAATGAGTGTCCCTCCTTTTTCTCAGTGGGCCGCAAAACTGTCGTAACCAAGACAGTGTCCCAGAAGAGGGGAGTTTTGCTAGCTACATTTGCGTCCCTATAACTTGTGGGTTGTGTCAATTAAAGCAGTGATTCCCAAATGCTGGTCCAGGCCCCACGCCACTGCGCCTCAGACACTACACACACATTCACAAACTTTTGGCAGACCGGTAACATTTTATTTGTGTATCTGCAAACTGAATATATAACTCTTTTTATGTGCACATATGCAGATAAAATGAATATGCAAATGTTGCCAGTCCGCCAAAGGTTTGTGAATGGGTTTGCTACTCCGCAGTATGAAAAAGGCTGGGAAGCGCTGGATTAAACTGTAACAGTGTGTTGACTGGATGCAGAGGGAGCACACGGCTCTCACAGTGTTGTGTGCAATCAGCACACACCTCACTTCACGTGCCCTGGCTTCACATGCAATACCGGTAGGGAAAATATCTGTATGGAAGGAAACCAGAATCCTGCACATGGGCCACGGTAAACAAGATGCCTCATGGGGCCACACAGCAAACCCCACATCAGGCTGCCCCCCACTGCTGCACAGATTATCACAAAAAAGGTGACAATAGAAAGATGTTGCTGTCTTGAGGGTTGGACCTAGGGCTATAAACCACTAGTCGCATCACTTCTTGCTGCTCCCCCACATTTAAAAAACAGAGACGCAGCCATCCTGGAGCCAGTGCTCAGTCCTAATTTGTGCTGTCTTGGGAGCTATCGACTAATCGAGAAGTTAATGGAAATTCCATCACCTACTCAATTAGCTTATTAACGACTATTTAACATCCCTAGTTGGGTTGTGTCCAGTGTTCCCGTTAAATTGTTTCTACCTGTGTGCAGAATAAATTTTGTTATGTCCACCAAGGCATGGGTGTATATGCACCACCAAATAGAAACACATGCTGCTGGGTGTAGCCAGCTGTGGGTGTTTTGCTATCAGCTGGGTGGCACCTGAATTGCTCCTGGGCAGCCGCCCAAGGGCTCAGCTTACAGGGAATACTGGTTAGAGAGAGCCAATATTTTGATAATTATTTCAAATTCCACTTTTCAGCTTTGACCATCCTTGTAAAGAGTGCTCAATAGGCTTGCATGTAGTATTTGCTGTTACTCAACGTTCTCATGTCAAGTAATTTCTGTCCTGTTGCTATAGTTAATTGTAATGGGGTT